AGCGGCAAGAGCTGCCCTAGGCTATCAGCATCCACCGGAACAGTCCCAGGAATGAAAGTAGTGGGGTTGTTCTGCTTTGCTGGATGTCCTTTCAGTCATAGCCTGTCCCCAAACTACCCATTGGCAAAGGACTCAAGTGTACCTAACATGAAACTATACGGCCATAACTTAAGTTTTCACTGATGGTTCAACAGATACTGATAATGATCCCAGGCAATTTTGTAATGGGCTTCACTTAATGGGGAGACTGGATCCAATTTTTACATTCCTGATTCTTTAACAGACCTTTGAAGTTGCTTTTTAAATAAATTTAAACAAATCTCTCATTCGTTGATATGCTTGTCTTTCAGAGTTTCAATGTCACAGATCTGGGTTGGAAGTGTCAACCTACCACTTCCTGACAGCCCGGCCACAGGATGCAGAGAGAGAATGTGTGCGAAGCAGAGATTTCATACATCGAGGCCGAGCACATAGCACAGCTAGTCCAGAGTCATCATTGAGAATAAGGGGCCAGACAACCTGGATTCCTGTCTCAGCTATGCCACTTCCCCGCTGTGCAGCCTTGGGCAAGCAATTCATCTGTGACTCGTGTGGCAGAGAATGACAAAAACAGGACCTACCTCCTAGGTCTGCTGAGATGACTAAAGGACTTCAGACATATATAGCACTTGGAACAATGCTTGGCACACAGTACGTGCCTTTCAGTAACACCCCATTATTTTTCATAATAGGTCTTCCCTACATGATTGAACCAATCCCCTAGTCATTCATTCACTTAATACATAGCCCACTGAGTGCCCAATACAATACACTTCCCTGGACTAAGGGTATATCATCATGGATAGGGCCCCCACTGCCCCCGCAGATGGTTCAAGCTTTAAATGGTAGACTCAAAGCACTTTCTGGTGGTTGGAGGTATCCGAGAGCGACTCTGTTATATGACTTTCAAAGTGGGTTCCTGGGAGCCGTAGCGTTCCTCAGAGGGACCAAAGAGGCAGAGATGGGAGGCTGGGCGGGTGGAGGGCTGCTGCGCACCCCCGACCCCCCGACAACCAGGGGCTTCAGATTCGATCCATGTTACACATCAGGGAGAGATCTGCTTGAGTATTCATTAGAAGAAACCCTATCACCAAAACAAGCTTGCAAACACCTTCACAGATGAGGAAATCCAGGCCCACACATAGTAGTATGAAGTTCAAAGCCACACAACTATTTCCATTCAAATATCTACCTCCAACACACGATTGTGTTGACACTTAATGAAATCAATCACAGTAGGCATCACTGTCCCGAGTGCTTCCTGTGTGCCAGACGCTGCACAGAGACCTCATGGGCATCAAAGCTTACCCTCCACTTGGCAACTGGGGAGACTGAGGTGTTTGTTAAACAGGAAAACAAAGGCAACGCTGAGCTTTGAACAAGACAGACTAGTCGCACTGGCTTTGGGAGAACGACAAAACCATCGCCTGTATTCACAGGCAGGCACAGGGCGCAGACCCAAGAATAAGAGGTAGATCCATGTGCCCGCTCTCTGACACATCCACAAAGAGACGCTGGCCTCCTTACCACAGCCTGACAGAGCCCCTGAGCTGGGGGCAATAAGGCTTTGACAGCACCAACCGCAACTCAACCCCTGCAGCTATACTGAGAGTGCTTGCCTCCTACACATGTGTGAACAGTCATCCGGCAAAATGTCTGTGTCTCCCATACTGGACAGATAGTAACTGGGGAGTTAGCCAGCAATCCTGACCAAGAAGATATGAAGGGATGCCCCGAAAGGACAGAAGCCAATTGCACCAGTTTGTGATTACAAAAGGGTCACCTATTAAGGAGTTCCCCTGTTTCATTTCTGCTTGCTCTTGGGCAAATGTTTTTTGTTTTGGGTGGTAAGGTGCCCTTCTGATCGTAAGTGTATTCACTTCTAAGGGTTCAGAAATAGGACACTGTATTAAGATACTCTTACCTCTGTTCTTGAATTAGGCACCTAGACAGAAAGAAACAACAAATTTTGTTAAGTACAACAAACAAAGTATTTTTATTGTTTTTCCAGACCCTGGGTTACAGGGCATATTCATCTTATGAACGACTTCACACAAGAGGACAACAGAATTTCCTTAATGGAGACCTGCCATGTACATATTTTTGTATATATATCATAATCAAAGAGGTAACTTTACATTTTCCTTCTGTATTCATCTCCTTCAGGTTGGAAGCTTAATAGACCAGCCCACCAGAGCTAGTCTTGGGAAGCCTCCGTGCTTCAGGGTAATTAGTCAGTACTTTCCATGTGGCCATCAGTGACACAGCTCTGTGGAGAAGACATGACTCCTATGCTCCTGGTCCTTCTCCCTGCGCGTGTGCCCACTGGAAGGACACCGTCACCTGCTCAGGTCATTTCCACAGCCTCCTACCTGGTTTTCCTGCCTCTACCCCAAGCTCTGCCTACTCAGCACAGCCTCTCTCTCTGAAGATCTATCTCAACCTCCCTTCACTTCCAGTCTCCCATCTCCCTCAACCTCACTTCTCTAATCTCAAGACACCCACGCTGTTAGGCTGATGGAAGCTTTGGATAAGTAGACATGTTTGGGGAGGCCTGTGCTGAAAGAGACCTGTGCCTGCATGCCTGAGGGGCTCCTTCCAGAAGACAGGGAGAAGTCAAACACACTGGAAGAATCACAGGCCTAGATGGTTGACTTATGAGAAGAGAGGGGAGAGGAAAAAGGTTCAACTTGATCCTGAAAACCAAAGCCCAGGTGACTACTGGTGCCAAAGCCCATCCAAATGCCACCCCAACCCCACCCCACCCCCCCAAAAAATCAGAAGAGTGGGGCTTTCACAATAATAATATGGTTTTTAATCACTGAAAAAACTTTTTCCCTTGCGACCCTCCATGTCATCTACCAAGTGGGCCAGTGGCCTTTCTCATTTATTCAGTTCACGCTTGGGTCACTGATGGGGCCTCCTCACCACGTGGCCCCTTTCCCTTTTCCAGCAATCCCATTTTCTGTCCTTTCCTGCTTGCTTACTTCATCTGCCAACCAGAAAGTGGATTTTCTATTCTTTTCGGGTCTGTTTCTCAGAGAGAGATCTTTTTGGTGCTAGCATGATTATTTCTATCACAGACATTAAGATGCTTTTATAAGTGCTAAACTTTTGGGTTATTAATAAAGTTTCTTATTCAGGAGACAGGCATTATTGGATACCATCAAAATGAACAAAAGAGAAAAAAATGAATGAAATCAAAATATGAGCGAATGATACAAAAATAGAAATTATTTTAAGTGATTTTTCTCAGTATCTTTCATATCAGTATACTGAATACTGAAGAACTAGAGAAAAATTTAAATTTGAATGTCAATCATGTACTGAAATTATTCTATATTTGTCACATTTTAAGAGGGTACAAAGAACAGAAAACAAACCTAAAGAATCAGTTTCACTTCAAATTAATCCTTACCCTCAAAATTTTCGGGCTGCTGTAATAAGCCATGCACAAGGCTTCAATTTCTTCACACTGTTCCAAATTTATCCTCCTGGTGCACTTAACAGCTTGGTTCACCAAAAATGCTGGAAATCATAACATTCCCATGGGGTGAAAAACAATAAAAAAAATTTTTCAACAGTCCAATGATAACTAAAAAATTGTAAGTAAAACTGCAAAATAAGTTATGACACAGAAATACAACATGTTTAAAACAGGAAGGATTTTAAAATAGTTTTTCAAATAGGTAATACATTTACATGATTCAAAATTTAGAAGACACAAAAGGGTTTGTGTCTTCCAACCCCTGTCCCCTCGTCCCCCCAACCCGTCCCCCCACTCCGCAGCTATTACCAGTTCACTCCCCAGAGATAATCATCATGAAGTTTCTTGTGTATCTTCTGGAAATATCCTATGCAAATAAAAGTGTGTGTATATATATGTATTTTAGTATTTCTTTCCTGTTTTGGAAACAAATGTGCAATATATATCCTGCCTTTGGTTTTTTTCACTCCACAAATCTTGGAATTTAGCCTATCTCAGTACCTGAAGAGCTCCCTCCATTTTTTAGGAATAATTAGTATTCTACTATAGGTATGCCAAAATTTATTCAACCAGATCCCCATTTTAATGGACACTTACGTCTCTAGCTTTGCTATCAAAAACAATGGCTACAATCTATTAGTTTGCATGTGAGCCAGTAGGACCAACGCCTAGACGTGGAACAGCTGGGTCAAAGGGCATGCCCATCTGCAGTTTTCACACATACTTTTAAATTGCTCTTCACAGAGGCTGTACCAACATACAGCCCCACCAGCTGTGTGGGTGAGTGCCTACCTCTCCATAGCCTTACATTTCCTAAGCTTTGTCAATCCATTAGATGGGCATGGTATATCAGTTTAGTTTTAATTTACACTATCCCTGGTGTGAACAAAGTTAAGTGTCTTTTCAACAGAATTAATTTTCCGTCACGTATCAAATGATGCTTCATTAACCCACAAGCTATCATCCATGACTTAGCTAGCTTCTTCACAGTGAGACAGACTTACATACACATGGGAGAGCCAGGCCTGCTGCCTCCCACTGCCAAGAAGATTACTCCACGGGCTCTGTGATGCTCCTGAAAGGAGAAGCAAGGCCCTTGGGAGGCAGTGTCGTGGGTTGCACTCCTGAGCAAGAAATGGAATGTTTCTAGGTTTCCTCCTCTAAATAATGACAATTCCCTTACCTTCTTATCATACCCAGCACACAGGAAGTGCTTAATAAATGTTAGCTGTTGACAAACTTGAGCTCCAGTGAAGAAAGAACTTTCCAACAACTGGAAGTGCTGAACAACTGAGTAGGCTGGTCTCAGGCTGGGAGTTCCCCATCACGACAAGTACTCAGGCAGGGGCTGCCTGTGGTAGAAAAGGTTATGGCCCTGGTAGGGACTCTGAACTACAGAACCTCTGAGGCCTCTTTCAACTCTAAGACGCTGCTGGCAGTTAGGAAGCCTGTTTAATTATAACTACGATACATGTAAACTAAGAGCGAACTCTGTTTATAGAAAGAAAACTGCCCACTCTCTTACCTGCAGGGTTATTGTCGGTGCACAGAGATGACGTCAGGGGAGAAGGAAATCTCAGAAATGAATCTGAAGTCTGCAGGTGAACCCCATACTGCAAACAGAACAATCGAAAGCGGTTATGTGACATTAAGGCATTTGTCCAACACTTACGGGACACCTGCTGTGTGCCAGGCGACACTGCAGGCATCCGGGAACACAAGCGCTGAGCCAAATCCAGGTGTGGTCCCTGCCCACGTGGAGCTTACATCCAGCTGCCCCACCCTTTTCTGTGTGTGCATGTTACTGTATTTGCAGGCCTGTTTATTGAAGAATTCCTATGGAAGGGTATATAAGAAGCTGACACAGGTGTCCGCCTCTACAGACAGGAACTTGGTGGTCACGGACAGGGGCGACAGAGGTAATTATTTTTTTACTAGCAATAATTATTTAAATAATAGATACGTATATTGTATCCGTTAAAAAATCGTAAAATTAATCTATGCTTTCTTCCCAAAACCATACCCCATGAAATTTCCCCCAATATCCAAAACAAAATATATAGCTATTGGGCACACAGCTAATTTTCTTGAATCTAAAAGTATCCAAATGCCTTGGTGCCAGCAAGATACAGGAAACAAGCCCTCCCCTTCCCTGGAGCTGGGAGTGTAGACTCCTGCAATTGATATTTTTAATTTCCACTCATTTTGACCAAATTAACCCATTTATGGGAACATATCCTAAAGATTTAATCAAAGATTTAATTCATTCATTGTGGGTTATTTATAATAGCAAAAGCTGGAAACTAATGTCTGTTAAAAACAGAATAGCTCAATAATAAATGATGATACATACACATAAGGAAAACTTTGTACCAGCAAAATGTAGCTCCAACACTAGCTCTCGTGGTTATTTTCCTATACCAAAACTTTCTCATCAGTTAAATGCGGACAATGATGTGTCACTCCCTGGGTTGTGTGAGGCTCTGCACAGGGCCTGGCACATGGAAAATGCTCAAGAAATGGTAACTTCTATATTGACATGGGAAGATGCATAAGATTTATCCTGAATGAAAAAGGAAGTTTATAGAACAATATGGGTAACTTAGTTCTATAAATCCCACCTCTGCACAATACTATATGTATATTTTAATAGATGCACTTAAAATCAGGAATATACACCAATCTGTTAACAGTGATTTGTAGTATGCATTTTAATGGAGACAGCAGGCTTTCCATTTCTACTTATGTACCTCTATACTTTTAACTTTTAGAACTAGCACATGTTGCTTTTATACTTCCCTTTTTTAAAAGATGCTCCTGAAAATTTTGAAATTTGGTCAAAGTTAATGAATATCACATTTAGAGTAATGAATAGATACAAAACAGCACACATCTTCCCAAAGTATGTAGAACTAAATATAACTTTGAGAGGAGGACCAGGCACCCCACCCATCCACTCCGTGTCCCCAGCAGCGTGCCTCCAGCACTTGGTGGCATCTTTTGAGGTGGAGAAGGACAAAGAATTCTGCAGAGGCACATGCAAGCTTCCCACAGAATAAACGGCTTTAAACCCTATGTTAGAATTGAACTACTCCACTTTAATTTTCATGATCTTTATTTACAGGCACGAACATTAAGTTTTTTTGTCTCTAATATGAATTCTATGTCTTGGGAAGCCGGTTTTACTGGGAACATATTGAGAAATTAACTTAAAAGGGCAGGGTATTTGTGATGGGATGGGCAGACCTTGGTTCTTAGCTCACCTCATATTTAGCAGTATTTGGAGTATTTGATTCAGTTGTGAAAGAAACATCTGATTCTGCATTCAGTGAAAAACCATCAGATATTTTCATCAATTTATCAAAATTGTTTTCATCAGGCACTTCCGGATTAATAAAGGATAATGCAGGTTTATCTGTTTTTAGAAAAAGTATTTTAAATCAGTATAAAATACATGTATATATTATATATAACATACATAATATTTTGCAAGTTTTTGGTAGCATTAAGGCTGACATGAAAAAAATAAAGTGTCTCTCTTCTCTCTATATATTTACTTCCCCCAAGATTTCTTGAATCTGATTACATAAACAAGATCCTCAGAATTGGCCTGTTTCTCTATCAGTGTGGAAGCAATGGTTTCTACAGCCTGTAGGTGGGCAGCACAACAGAAGCCAATAACAGTCAATCTCCTTCTCCAGCCATGGATTGAGGAGTCTGCTGCATAAACCTCGAAGGGAAAGCTGTGTCCAGACGACTATGGGAATGCGAGACCCTGGGTCTACCCTCACACTGCCACCTCCAAAGCCCGGGAGGAAATGTGCATGTGTAGAAGAGGCGGAAGAAGGGAACAGGCTGGAAAGTTCACTGGGCTGGTGTTATGTCAGAGAATGTGACAATGACTGACCACCAATTCTTACTTCAGATTACAAATCACAGAGCATTGGCTTAAGTCTTCAATTGCAGGGGAACAAAGCCAAAATATGGAGACATTTTGAAAAGATGATAAAGTGTAACTGATAAAACCATAAATGTGTCTTTGGTCTTGGATATCTTGACAACGTTTTACACTCCTGCGTGCTTTGGATCTAGACACCTATTTGAGCCAAATGCTCAGATAAAAATAAAGATCCTGTTTTCATGCAAATATTCAAAGTAAAAATAAAAGAGAAAAAGGGAAATTGAAACCAAAACTGACGCTGATTCTTAACCATTAAACCAGGAGGAAATAAAGCAAAAAAGAAAAAACACATATACCTAAATAAATATAGGTTCCTCTGCATGTCTACATATCATAAACACCTTTGAAAAAAAAAGTATGAGATTTCAAAGGACAAATACACAAGCACAATTATTTTTTAAAGAAAATGTGCGTGCCCACAGGTCTATAAAGTTCCTTGCAGTTGCCTGTGATACACCCTAGCAAAACCATATAATGACTGCTTTAAATCTAACTAAATGGGACATTTTTCCATAAAAGAACTTCTGGAAGAAAACATTTCAGAGTTTCACAAAGTATATCACCATCAAATACTCACAGTTTGTAATATGAATACAGAAAATAGAAGGATTGATCTGGTCGACAAGTTTAAAGACTCTCTGAGGTGGGTGTGCTGTAAAATTCAATGAATAGATGGCTGCTTTTTGGCTACAAAACTGACTGTCACCCCTGATGAGAAAAATAAGAATGCAAAGTTTTAAGGCATATGCACACAATCTTCACAAGATTATTTTAAAACTGTCAGACACTGTACTGTGTACTATGTTAATAACTACATGGAGGATATTTACGAAAGTGTGATGTTAGAATTGAATCCATTTTTATTTAGTTTATTCGGTGTTAACGTGTTTGGCATTTGAAACTTTTCCCTCTAACAGGGAAAACATTAAGTAAAATAACCTTCAAAGAAATCTCGTCAAGTATGGAATACAGATCGGGGTATAATTTTGATGTAAATGAACCTTGTAAACTCTGACAGTATCAATCATATAAAATTTTGCAGAATTTCAGATTGTTTATAAGTAACCAGAAGGAATGGAAATTTCCTTGTCTTTAGAATACAGCCATCTTCAACAGATTGTGAAAACGAGAAAATGTGAAGTCATCTGAAGTTTTGGGGCTTAGAGGTTATGGTACAGTCAAGTCTTCAACCAATCCCAGACTTGACAAATCCTAATCAATTTAATACAGATATGGAACAGAAATAGAAATACAACAAAAATGGGGTCATATTCTACATATACTTTAAGGCCTTTTCTCACTTAATATATATTGCCCAATATTTCCATGTCATCAAATATGTTTTTGCAATATTATACTAAACAACGTTGTTGTATACCAACTTATTAAGATAATCAACTTTTTTTAACTGAGCCTCTATTGTTGGTCTAGGCTGTTTCTAATTTTCCTTGATTACATAGAATGCTATAATGACATTCTTGTACATACATCTTTCTGAACGTCTCCTGTTATTTTCTTAAGCTATATCCCCTGCAGTGGAATTGCTAGGTCAAAAAGTAGGTACATTATTTAAGGTTTCTCAGACATATTGCCAGGTCGGCCTCCAGGAAGACAAGTTGTACCTTCACTAACACTGTAGCAACAGTGCTATTTCCCTCTACTCTTGCCAAAATTGGATATTATTCAAATTATAAATACCCTTTGTCAATTTCATGGACAAAACACTGTTATCTCGTTGTTTTGATTTGAATTTTCTCATTTACTACCAAGGTTAAACATTTTTCCATATGGTTATTCTTTACTGGTTAGTTGCTTGTTCAGTTAGTTGCTTGTTCATACCTATTGGCTGTATTTTTAATTAGAATGCTTGTCTTATTAATTTGTGAAAACCCATATTTTTAAGACTCTCCCTTGAGTGTCACGTTATAAACATTTTTTCACAGTTTGTTACCTTTCAGTTTTATGGTGTTTTCTGTCATATAAAAGTTTTAATTCTTTCTTTATAAGAATTAAAGTTTTGGGCCGGCTGAGTGGCTCAGTTGGTTAAGAGTTGGCTTAAGAGTGGGAGCTCTGAGCAACAGGGCCGCCGGTTTGATTCCCACATGAGCCAGTGATGCTGTGCCCGAGCAGAGCTGCCGCTGAGCTGCCAACAGGTGGCAGGATGGCTCAGCTGGTGAGAGCATGTGCTCCTAACAACAAGACTGCCTGTTCGATGGTGGGCTACACCTGCCCGCAACTGAACTCAGCACCTTGAGCTGAGCTGCCACCCGGATGGCTCAGTGGATAGAGCATGCGCTCTTAACAACAAGGCTGCCGGGTTTGACTCCCGCATGGGATGGTGGCTACGCCCACCTGCAACTAAGATTGTAGCACAGCACCTTGAGCTTAGAGGCCATGAGCTGCCAATGGGCAGCCAGATGGCAACTGGCGCCCTCCACAACTAAGATTGAAGAACAACTTGGCTGGTCCCTTTCCCCAATTCCCCAATTAAAAAAAAAAAAAAGAATTAAAGTTTTAATTCTTTCTTTATAATTACTTTCTTTTAATTTGAGGTATGACTGATTTTTTTTTAATAATGAAATTGTCAATCTTTTCTTTTACAGTTTGTCTGTGGGTTTATGCTTAAAATTCCCTAACCCAAGATTAACAAATGTTCACCTATGCTTTTCATTCATTAATTTTTAAAAAATATTTCACTCTTCAACCTATCGGTCATTTACTTTGGTTTAATGTTATGATGCAGGAATCTAATGTTTTTGTTTTTCAATAGTTACTTATCCTACATCATTTACTGAAGGGTCCAACCTTTACTCCACGGATATAAAATAGAATATCTGCCATATGTTAAATGTATGAATAGACAAAAATACATAATACCTTCAAAAAAATCAGCTGTGTGCAAAATCAGTACTCGCTACAGATTTTAGGCCTTTCTGTGTTCTCCCAATGATCTACTGATCTGTCTTGAATCAATACTCACTAGCTTCATAATTGTCGTGTTACAACATATTTGAAACCTGGTAGCTTGCTCTTATTCAATAACTTCTTGGTCGTTCTTATCTGTTTGTTCTTCTAGATGAATTTAAAATTGTTTTTAACACATTATCCCTCTCCTATCTGACTGGAGTTACATTTATAAATTAAGTTCTTATAAATTAATTGAAATGTTTATGTAATGATTCTCCCTATCCCAGTACATAGATCATCTCTCCATTTATTCAAATGTTTTGTCACTATATTTTGAATTTTTCCTCACATGAATTCTGAATAGTTAAGTTTATTCCTAATTACGTTATATTTTTAGTAGTGTTATGAAAAGAATCCATTTTTACTGTATTTTCTTGAATGGTTATTGCTGGGGTATAAGAAAGCTATTGATTTATAACTGGCCACTTTTCCAAACGTTCTGTATAGTATGTCAGTCGTTATCGTGGGCATAAAGAACATTTTTGAAAAACTGTAAGTAGTATTTACAAAAAAAGATCCGGCACTGAAAAGTTTACAAGTCCTACTGGGCCTGAAAGGATGAGTACGAGTCAGACAGAGAAGGAATAGGAGGCTAATCCAAGTGCAAGACCGGCGCTGGCCCAGGATGGGTAACTACTGATGGAGTCTAGAGAACTGTGAGTACCAAAGTCGGGCTGGAGGAAGGATTTGAGATGTGTTAGTAGGAAATAGGATCTGAAGGACGTTAAGGATGGATCTGAATCCAGGCTAAGGAGTCTGTACTTAATGAGAGCTTCTGAAGGTCTTTTGGCAAGTGAGTGACAAGATCAGGCACGAGCTTATAAAGCGGGAGGGAGCAGGAATGGACAAACAAGAACTATCACAAAGGAAGACTCAGCAGAACGGGACTCCTTACTCCTTGCTCCGCCCCAGTCGAAGGGCTCTCTAGTACTGTGCAGTAAATCAGTATGAGTATCAGATCTGTATGTTTCCCTGTAGTCTCACTGTCACAACTGTCAGGGTGGTAGGAGCGATACCTATTCATCCTCACCTGCCAAGCTTCTTACTTGGTTCCCTGCCACTAGGCCTGGCCCCTGTGATCCACCATCCATGCTGCAGAATTTCCTAAGCTGGGCCTCTGATCCCCTCTCCCCAGCCTCCTGCAGAATTGAGGACAAACTCAGCATGCACACAAGGCGCCTCAGGCCCGGACCCCTACCACCTCCCCACACTCCTCTCGCCCCACCCTTCTCAAGCCACATGGAGTTACCTGCAGTTAAGCCAACAGGCCTACTCCTTCACCCCCAGGACTCTGCCACGTGACCCCCTTGGCCTGAATGCGCTCCCCGATTCCATGCTGGGCAACCTCTACGTGTCCTTCAGGACCCAGCTCAGGTCATCTTTTCTAGGAAGTTCCCTAGTCCAACTCTGTGGGTGAGATGCCACTCCTCAGAGTTCTCCTTGTGCCTGGTGCAAAGACTGCCATCCACTCATCTGTCTCCCCATTCAGTGAGCTCCATGAAAGCAGGACCGTGTCTAATTCAACTTTATAGCCCTGATTCTGGCACACAGGTGCTCAAGAAAGGCCTGGGAAGAGAAAGACAGCTTACAGATGAGAAGGTATGGCAGAGGTAGGAGTCAGAGAGCCACCTGGCTTCCGGCATGGGTGTCTGCCTGCAAGAACAGCAGCAGAGAAAGTAAAAGGGAGTCAGTTAGGGGTGGAAGGGAGAAAGTCATTCATCCATTCAACTCATTTTTAATGAGGGCCAACTATGTTGCAGGAGCTGTGCTAGGCACTAGTGGTGTATAATACATAAAGTATGATAAAAAAATATGGTGAATGCTTAAATAAAAAATTACAGTAAAAGACACATTGCCATTAATCCCCTTCACTTCGAACACATTTATCCCATCATTCTTGCCACTTTATGAAGCAGTTCTGGAAGTCCTCTTTTGTGAGTGTCTTTAGTTGCGCTGTCATGGCTGCCTCAATGTCCTAAATTGATTCAAACCGTTTTCCTTTCATGGTCATTTTGACTTTGGGGAAGAGCCAGATGTTGCACAGTGCCAGATCTGGTGAATAAGGTAGATGAGGACACACCGTAATGTTTTTATTTGACAGGAAGTGCCGTACAGAGAAGCAATGTGTAACATGGAGCACTGTCATAATGGAGGATGAAGTAAAGACACTCACAAAACAGGACTTCCAGAACTGCTTCAGAAAGTGGCAAGAGTGATGGGATAAGTGTGTTCAAAGCGAGGGGGAGTTTTTTGGGGGATTAATAGCAATGTGTCTTTTGCCATAATAAATTTTTTTAATTTAAACCTTCACTGTATCTTTTGTAAGTTACACCTCATATAAAAGATAATTCTTCTTACTCTCATGAAGCTTACATCTAATGGGGAAACAGACATTAATCCAATAGTCTTAACAATAAATTTACAATTTATTAGATGACAGAATGAGCTGTTGACAGTTTAGCAAATGTAAATAAACCTTTTATGACTTGGAACATACAGCATAAGAACACTCAATTAATTAGTATAATTAGTTCGGTCCAACTATTTCTAAACTTCATATTTAGGAGTCACAAGCAAAACTAAAACAAAAATTCTGAGGTCCTTTCCTGAGGGCACTATGGATTCAGCTCTAACTTCTAAACCATGGGTCTACAAACCATGCCTGATTTTTATTACCAAGTTTTATTGAAAGATGGTAATGCCCATTCATTTACATATTGTCTACAGATGCTTTTGCAAAGATGGAAGAGTTGAGACTTTGCAACAGACTACATGGCCTGTGAAGCTTAAAATATTTACTATATGGTCTTTTCTCGAAAAAGCTTGCTTTAGATATTCTAAATAGTCTATATCTAAAGTTACAGTATTGGCTAATAAAAAAAGAATTGACATTCTAAAGAATGATCTCAAATTGGAGCAGAAATGTCACTTTCAGGTTCCTGGTACTTCCTAAGACAGAAAAGCAGGATTAATTTTCAACAAAGACTAAACCACAGTATAGTCCAGATATCAGAAAAAATAATCTGGCTACAACATCCTATTCTCCAAGAATTTTTACAATATTAGAAGTAAATTCAATTTCCCATTAGCCAGTAAAATAGTTTCTCATGGGAAAAACACATTGCACTTGCAAAAAGCATTCAGTCTATCAAGTATCAATTGCTACCACTTGCTACAAGGTTAGATTTAAATTAGCTATCTTTTGAATAGTATGTTGGTCCCATCCTGAATAAATTAACCTCTTTAAAGTGCTGTTTTTTCCAAAAGCTTCGAAATCTGAATTAGGAGAAACAGATCATTCAGAAGAGATTATTTCTTACCCTTGTAATGGACTGGGAATGTAATTTTCCATTATTGTCCTATACAATGAACTGTGAGAATTCCTAGTAGATTTACATATCAGAAAAATATAAACAAAGCTTACCTGACTATCTATTTAGTTGTTTGTTACAAGTACTACATCCAACACAAAAGCTGTAAAATTAAACTGTACCTTTTACCCTAGGCTGTAAATAAAACTAATTCAATGATACAAAAATGTGACACGTTATCTGTTTACAAATCAAAGTGAAATGTAATCCAATCTCTGAACAAAGAGATTTTGTTATACTCTTTAAAAAAAAAAAAAAAAAAAAAGCACACTCTCCTCTCTTTTGCCTGCATTAGCATCTGGCTGGATGCAAATAAGGGATAGATAACTCTTCTGTGTATAGGTTTGGACAGCATGGCTTCTGAGTGATGCAAAACTCAGGAAATCAGGTTTGGGTTTTTTTTTAGCCTGGGGGAGTTTTCACTTTCTGTCCTGAAATTTTATAATCCTGGTCTGATTTTATCAAAACTGTATGTGTCACAAACTTACATGACAACTGGAACTGAGCAAGCAGAAAAGACACTGAAATCCATGGAGCTGCAATCAGGATCACAACAGCAGTTGACGTCACACTGTGCTGGGGACAGGTCACAGACACACAGAGCAGCAACTACAGAAACGACAGGTGGGATACAGAGCATCACAATCCGTAGGTAGTGACCGCCCCCTGCCACCACGATGTACCAAAAGTCCATTTCATACAAAAGGTCCATTTGGTTTTTCCTATTGCATTTTGGGGGAAATTTACCAAGTGAAAATTAATCAGTTTGAGCACTCCTCAAGCCAGGGTTTCCCCAAAGTGGCTAATTATCTCACTCACTTGGAAAGTTGCTTGTTTGTGCTCTACATACAAAGACTCTGACCTTGTAAGCTGACTGTGAAACCCAGACATCCGTGTTGTTCAAAAACTTTCCAGGTGATGCTGATAACTAAGAAGGGTTTAAGAACCAGCATACTGTATCACTTGCCTGACCATAAGAACCACCAGTTTAATACTGCAGATTCCCAAATTCCTCCTCTAGAGGTTCTGATTCAGAGGAAGGACCCACTAATAAGGCCAACAGGAATCAGGGTTCTCAATCTTCTTCCTCTCCTCAGATGTCACCTGCAGCTTTGAAGCTGAGCCCACATTAACAGGCCAAGAATCAAACCGACTCAGGTGCTTTGTACTTGGGGTCCTAGGAATGAACATCTTTGGTAATTTAGACAATAAAGCGTGGGGAAGGGTAGGGATCTCCCCACTTAGCAACTTTTAATTTTTTAATAATAATGACTATCTGGGTTTTTATTCCCTATTTTAGTCTGTCAAACAAGGGGGAAAAAACCCTCTTAAAGGAATAGCAGAGCATGAGAATGATAAACACTGAACTCATGATAGTAATTATTTCTGGGTGGCAGGAATCAGATCAGTGCTTCAATCTTAACCTGTAATGTTTTCTTTTCTTCAAGAAAGTATTTCATGCAAAAACAAATCCAAAAAAAAAACACATAAAAAAGGATCTCAAGTAAATGCTGGTAGAGAGCCCATAAAACACTCTTATTTGCATATATGAATTATTTCACAATAAAAATGACTTTTAGAAAAATGTAGCTCAAAAAAGGTACAATAATACACTCTGGAAAGAAGTGTATAAGAAGGGGGAGGTTTTATCAATAAATACACAATCCTCTCTTAGTCTGAAACACAAAAGTTTCCCCCTTAAGTTTACATGCTTCTTTTTAGTCAAGGATTCTTCTATGTGCTTAGTAAAACGATAACACAACTAGTGTATGCTAATGTAAAAAATAAAGAATATTTAGATTCTCTGCCTTATGTGTTTAAAATTACAATCTTGTTTTCAAAACTTAAAACCTTTGTAGGTAGCTGTAAGACCGCTAAGGACAAAGCAATAATGTCTAATAACTCCACTTAGGAAAAAAAGGTCTCTATCCAGGATATGAGTGTACTTAATCAGCTAACAAGGATCTGTTGAGCACTCACAGGGGCTAAGTAGCACTCGGCTGCTCTTCCACGCCTCTTAGCATCTACATGCCTGGCTCACACAGCAGGGTACTCAATGAACAGAGTTCAAATTCACAGTGAAAATTATCACTCTTCTCTTCCACCTGTAACTCATTCTGCAAGTGGCTGTCCAGTTTTCCACTCAGAGTCAGCCTTCCACTCTGGCAGGTACCAGGGCTGTGAGCTGAAATCAGGCAAGTAATTTACCTACCTGAAAAATCGGGATAACCCACATCATAAGGTTGTTATGAGGATTAAATGAGACATGTCACAGATGAAAAGTTTATGTTGAATACTCTGCTGTATTGTCCCAATTTATCACTGATTTAACTTCCCTACGAATTCATCAAATCAACAGTATCAATATAAAACAGAATTTGGGTTTAAATATTGAAATAGCAAATACATTTCTCTGTACTTTTTCTTACAGACTTCTCATAATTTAGAAAAGAGGCCCTTTAGACAAATAATGGTTCAGTAACTAAAGTCATAGAGTTCAGGACATCGGCCAATGATGACTTTTCTATTTACTAGTTCTGAGTCTTATTCAATTAAAAAAGTATCTTTTTCTCTTAAGAAGGGATAAAAAAAAATACTGCCTACCTATTGGGGTTACAGTCAGAGGACTTAAAAGTTTTTTTTCAAGATCACAAACCCCTTTGAGAAACTGCTCACTGCTATGAACCCTCACCCAAGAAAAACGCATATTCACAAAAATTTGCATGCAGTCTTGGGATCACAGACATCGCCTGAAGTCATCCATGTCAAATCAGATTATAAAATATTTTTGAAAACATGTAACTCCAGGATTAGATCACTTTCTGAGAAATATGTTAATTATCCCTAAAGATGAATCCTAAAATGTGGGCATAACCCTTCACCCCATAACTTCCCACCTCCAACTCAACACATGGGGGAATCCTGGGTTTTCATAATTCAAGTCGACAGACAAAAGCCTTGACCTGGTTACATTTAGTAAGCTAAACTTTTGGGGTCTCTTTTTGATAAGTGAAAGTTCAGTGCCTCCTACGCATTTAATTTCCACAACTGTCTAGACACTTTAGATTTCATTGCGTCTTTGGGCTGCAAAGACTCATTCATTATTGCCTTGAACATTATTAATGTTGTCCAAGACCGCTGCAAGTACTTTCAAAGATTTGATATTGTCCCAATTAAGCTCTCTTAGCCTCGGTTTTCTCATCTGTATGACAAGGATCATATCTACCTGTATAGGTTGTTGACAGAATTCATGCCTATGAAACATGTAGCAATACCTGCACAAAGTATGTGTTCAATAAACGTTAACTATCATTATTATTACATCCTCACTCGGGCTACCCACTCCAGGATGGATCACTGTGGATCCCCAGGAATTGGCACTTGGTACCCACCATCCGTGACTGGGGTGGGCCTGGGACCGGAGGAGGGCTCGGGGACCCTGGGGGGCCCGGAGGGCATAGGAGACAAAGCAGGTCGGAGAGTCGTCGGGGATGGCTCCGTAGAGTTGAGATCCTCCGTCGTCACCGCCAGGGTGGCCCCGGCCTGGGCGTTCACAGAGGCCCAGCAGTTCAGAAGTAACAGCAAGATCGTCTGGAGGCCGGGCGGCCCCATAGCCACCGCGAACCCGCGGGGCCCCCGCGTTGCCTGGTAACCACGACGGCCCCGCGCGGGGCATTACGGGAAATCTCTTGCGAAGGCACGCGAGACTCCCGGGCCTATGAGCGGGGCCGGGGGGAGGCGGAGGCGGGGCCTAGGTGAGGAGGGCCACGAGGGACGGAGACCAGGGTCGGCGTGAGACTGGTCAGTGGAGAGTGGAGGTTTGCGTACATCCCACTTGCGGTTCCCTAGCCGACTGCGGCCCTTGGCTAAGAAATGCGGATTTCCAAACTCCATCTCAGGAGATTCTGACTCAGACAGTTTTGGGCAGGGTCCAGGAATCAATATTTTCAACAAATGTCCTGACGCAACCGGTGGGGGGACAGAAATTTGGGACGCTACTAAATAAGGTCTTTTGAAGGAGCACAGAGATGACATCACCATCCTTGAATTTTCTCTGTCCCATATTGTCAACATTTGCTTTGCGTTTTTGGTTTTAGATATCGCGCAGGAGGTCGCCAGATAATTTCTGTTCATTGTGTTGTGATAAGTGGGACAAATGAACATTTAACTTTTTTACAGTCAAGAAACATTGACAAAATTAAGTGGAATGATTTGTAAGTATTAAAAGGAAAAAAATCAAAGCAGATCTACTGTAACTCTACAAAATGAGTTGAAGACTACAAGACTTAGGGGAGCCTCTCCATTCCAAACTGACTTATGTACAGGGGTACCCCAGCCCAGTGATGTTTGCGAGACCTTTGGTACTTAATATCCTTACAATTCAGAAGTAAATGTTAAAATACTTAAACATATCATGGTGTTTATGTAAGAAACACATTTACCAATTCAGAAGAATGCCCGAACAGTATATATACCTAGTTTATTGAATTTATGTAACAAAGCTAAATAAATCATCAAAGGGACATCTTTAGCACTTTCTGTGACATCCCCAAGTGTATAAAAATATAATTGGATCAAATGTGTAATACAGATATTTCCTTTTTTTTTCTACAAAGGATTGCTTTAACATCTGACTGAAATTCTGGACTACTTTTAATAACTGATGTAATGTTTCCCTGTAAAAAACAAACAAACAAAAAAACCCTATATTTTCCAAAATTTCATCTCATAACTCTAAATCCAACACTATTGTGTTTTTTTTTAACTTCCTGTTTACTTCCAGTTACTTCCTTTTCTATTCCTTAATAGCTGTGAATCACTCTGTCCTATTTTCCACTCTGAAACTTTAGGCTGTTTGATTAAATTTTGATAAAGTGCCACTCGGTTCTAACATTTTCATCTTTATGCTTTATGGTTTAGGAAATAATCTCACCACCCCCTTTTGTCCACTCTCAAATACTTGGTAGATGGCCCCAAAGTAATTTTATGACAGCTTACAAAATCGAAATGAGGAATGAATCACCTCGGATCCATTTTGCAAACCTTGGGAACACTGAAACAGGTGTTTCATTTCACAGGTGACCCATTTCTGCCAGGCTTTTTTCATCTTTCAACCCAGATGACCTTTTCTCCCTTCGTTCTCCCCTGGCCTTGGTAGGTTCCCTCATTAGGCTGGAAGGACACAAGGCAGGGTTAAGATTTCCACATTTTGTTCACAACCGCAACATTGAGGTTGTGGGTAAATGTTTGTGATTAAAAATGTCCATCTGTTTCTCCAAGATTATTGGCATTCTCAATTCCTCATAGTCTTTGCCAACATTGGGAGGAATCAGGACAATTCAGCTTTTTGGAATTTTGTACTTGGAAGCTGCCGCATATGAGGAGGCTGAAAAAAACCAAAGACAGAAGTAGCTAGGCAGAAAAATAGCTAAGGCTGACTTTACAAGTCAGGGTTAACCACCCTGTCTTGGTCTTTCCTGTGGTTTTGGGTGAATTGGTTATGATTGTTATTATTATTGCTAAAATCATGGTTTCTAAGCCGTCTAAAATGAGGTATCCAGTTTTTCCTATGATTAAGTATATCCACCCATCTTTATTCATCTGAGCCAAATATTTTATAAATAGGCAGAATCATCAACTTTTTCAAGGGGTTGCTTAGAGCTACAGGGAGGTCAAGTCTGTGTGAGGACAAAGGATTGACTCCACTGTTTTGATTGAAGCGAGCAGTCCAGTAATTGATTTCTAGATCAACACCCAGAAGAAAATAATCCTCAACTTCTCTCCGCCTTCATTCCCCATGTGCCTAGTTAACCACCAGTACTATTCTTGTTCTTCAGATTTTTCTGAAACATGAGGGCAGAAGGGCTATTTGAGCAGACTTCACAATCTTGAAAGGTTTCAAATTTACAAGTTTGACCTTTTTTGAAAATGAAGTTATAAATACGGTCACAGACATACACTGACAGGAATGAAATAAGAATTGCTTGTTTATCAGACAACTTTAAACTTGCATCCTATTATTAGATCATACTACTGTTTGAATAAACTAGTTGGCTTTTTAAGAATCATTGTTGTTTTTATTATTTTCAGATTGAAACATTTCAATTACAATGAAAGGTACAAAAAAGAACACTGTACACTGGACCAAGATCATGCAGGTTAGAACTTTTGTCATATTTACCCCACATTTCTTTTTTGTTTTATTGAGCGATAACTTAGATACAGTATAAATGTTTATGTACAGTTCCTGATATCCAGGGTTTTCTCGTGCATTAATGTACAGTTTTTTTTTGACGTACAGTTTTATGAGTTTTTACAAACACATACAGTCATGTAACCACAATCATAATCAAGGTATAGAGCAATTTTACCACTCCCAAAAGTTCCCTCATGCCCCTTTATAGCAACCCCCCCACCATCCCAGCCCTTGATGACACTGATTTATTTTCTATCCCTATGGTTTTCCCTTTTCCAGAATGTCACATCAATGGAATCATAGAGTATGTAGCCTTTTGAGCCTGGCTTCTTTCACTTAGCCTAATGCTTTTGAGATTCATCCACCTTGCATGTAGGAGTATCAAAAATGTATTACTATTATTATTATTATTATTGCGATGGTAAAATAATATATAACATTAAATTTGCCATCTTAATCATTTTTTAAGTGTATAATTCAGTACTGTTAAGTGTTTCACATTGTTGTGCAACAGATCTCTAAAACGTTTTCATCTTACAACACTGAAACTTTGTACCCACTAAACAGTAATTCCCCCTTTCCTTTCTCCCCACCCCTTGGTAACCACCTTTCTACTTTCCATTTCTTCTATTTTTACTACTTTAGCTACTTTATATGAGTGGAATCCTTTTGTGACTGGCTAGTCCTTTTGTGACTGGCTAGTTACACTTAGCATAATGCCCTCGAGGGTCATCCAGGTTGCAGCATGTGACAGGATTTCCTTATTTTTTAAGGTTACATGGTAGTCCACTGTATGTATATGTGACATTTTCTTTATCCCTTCATCCATGGATAGACACTTGGGTCGTTTCCACCTCTTGGCTATTGTGAATAATGCTGCTATGAGTGTGCAAATATCTCTTTGAGACCTGCTTTGAATTTCTTTGGACATATACCACAAATGGGATTAGCTGGATCATATGTAATTCTATTTAAAATTTTTTTAGGAACCTCCATACTCTTTTCCACAATGACTGCACTATTTTACATTCCCACCGACAGTGTACAAGAATTCCAACTTTTCCACATCCAACATTTGTGATTTTCTGTTTTTTTGATAGTAGCATCCTAATAGGTATGAGGTAGTATCTCACTGTGGTTTTGATTTGCGTTTCCCTAATGATTAGTGATGTTGAGCATCTTTTCTTGTGTTTATTAGCCATCTGTATGTCACCTTTAGAGAAACGTCTATTCAAGACCTTTAATTTTTTTTTTTTTTTTAAGATTTTTATTGGGGAATTGGGGGAAGGGGAACAGACAAGTTGCTGTCCTTTTGTTCTTCAGTCTAGTTGTGGAAGACGTTGCTTCACTGGCCC